GCCTCAAATACGAGATAGTCCTCAATAGGATTTCGATTTATTAATGTTTTGGGGCCCTTTATAGCTTGCTGTGTGGTGTGAGCCAAGGCTCCGTGTTGAAGACCGTACTTTGACCTATAATGGTTTACTTTTAGAAATTGTGCCTTGGATGGAGAGTTGTCTCATTGGCACTCATACCACATCCTATTATATCTAAAGAAGTTCTTAACTTATTTTCATACAACTGATTATTGGTGACACCAGTCAACTTAAAACTACATGCACAACATTTGCTTTGCGAATGTGACAACCTAATATACAAAATATCCGTGCAAAGCAAGCAACTCGTTTTTTTATAAAATTCAGACTCGTAATGACAGAAAAAAAAATGATTTTCATCATATTTGGTCGTTTCCTGACAATGATAATGTTTTATCCCCAATATGATCAGGTAAACTGTACTGTTATACATAACAGATACTTATTGAACCAGAAGTAACTATCGGCCTTTTGATCTTCTGTCATAAAAACATATTGCTTCATTAAGTTTTGTAAACCAAGCGATTTTGAACGGTTTGTCCAAATTAACTCGTAAACTCATACAATGTTATATTGTTAAAGTCGCGAAAATTGTAACAAATTACGTCCAAACTTAAACAAGACACCAATTTAACAGGATTTAAAAAGATTTATATGGTTCTTGCTATTAAAAGATCGGATAACAAGTATTGGACGTGTCACATACTGTCACACGACCCATGAAGAGGTGTCTTTTTGGTGTATTATCATGGAGACTATATTATAGTCATTGTAGTAATTCCCATTGGTGTAAGGACAATAAGCATCTGTGTGAAATCAAACATATAAATAAGTACAACGTTTTATATCGTAAGGATGGCAAAGTTTTTTTTATTATAGTCACCGCTCAAGCAAAGGTGGCCACAGTGTACATGGTTTCTAAGTTTCTATTTACTGTTGATTTCGACCATTTGTGGTACATGGATTTCATGTTTATTTTGGTCCTATTTGTATTTCAGGAGTATTTTATTTTGTTGTATTTCATGTTTATTTTGGTCCTATTTGTATTTCAGGAGTATTTTATTTTGTTGTATTTCATGTTTATTTTGGTCCTATTTGTATTTCAGGAGTATTTTATTTGGTTGTATTTCATGTTTATTTCTGTAGTTGGTTTTGATTTGTTCTTGAACTTCTTTATCGTTGGCTTTCCTTTATTTTGATCAAGTATCCGATAAAGGTACATGCCGTGTGCACTAATTATTTTTATCCTGCTTTCTGTATAATATATACTCTTCTATATATATACACTGAGCTACTTCCACTCTAGTAAATTCATGAATGGAGATAATTTTTGATATTTTTCTCTTATTTCAGTACAAAAATAACAAATAAGGAAACAATGCATTGTATTCTGCAAAAATCAAAAAATTGGGCTTTCCGGTAGGCTGTCATATTAGACTCTTGGTCTAACCAGAATGAATCAACGACTCGTTTCGCAAAAAATCTTGTGATATAGTCGGAAGTCATGAACATTTCAGTTTAACTTGCAATCATTTTTTATCGTAATTTTTTTTGTGAAAACCCGTGACCCACTCCCGACATGTACCTATCGTAGAGCAGCAGATATTAAAAACTGAATTATTACATCATATAGTAAGCTATGAGAGGCCTCCACATAACAAAATGAGAAACAATTCAGAAGAGAGAACCAACGTCCTGATTATTGCTAAAATAATAAAAAAATAAAAAACAAATACGGCAACGGCAAACAGCAACCAACGATAACTTCCGACTCACAGGCTCCAGACTTATTATAGACACATAAATAAGGTGGTAGCTTCACAAGTTAAACATGTTTATGAGCCCTTAATGCCCTCCCTTTTCCGGTCCGCCCCTTACCTAGGATAGTACGACTATACCTATTCCATTTCAGAACGTGGACATGTCTATACTTATAGCAATCTGTTGAGTTTACCATAAAATGGTGATGAGTTGTTTAAAAACTGCACGGTGTAAAAAGTGCATATGGGATTAGTGAATGCTGCTTCCAGATGGTGTATAATCATATTCGATTGGATCTTAAAATCGATATATCTCAAGGTGATTGATATCTTCTGTTTTCCAGATAATCAACTGATCGAGAAAAAAAAAACACAAACCAGTCGTCGCCCAACTTTTTTTTTGTCTGTTATGGTAGATATTTATTTGCCATGCAGGATAAGAACATATCATTGTCATTTTGCTAGGTATTCTGACATTGGACTCGGACTTCTTTTAAACTGAGTTTTACTGTGCGTATTGCTGTGTGTCTGTTTATTCTACATTGGCTAGAGGTATAGGGGAGGGTTGAGATCTCACAAAACATATTTAACCCCGCCGCATTTTTGCGCCTGTCCCAAGTCAGGAGCCTCTGGCCTTTTTTAGTCTTGTATGTTTTTTAATTTTAGTTCATTTATATGTTTTGGAGTTTAGTGTGACGTCCATTTTCATTGAACTAGTAGATCTACATATTTTTGTTTATGGGGCCAGCTGAAGCCCGCCTCCGGGTGCGGGATTTTCTCCATGTGTTGAAGACCTCGGGTTGTTGTCTCTTTGACACATTCCCTATTTCATTCTCAATTTTATGTAATAAACATTTAGACCACACCATAAACAAATACGTTCACAACCATTAACTAAGTCTTTGACAATACGAAATTCCTGAAATCCATGTAAAATATCTTTAGAAATATTCCACGTCCCTGAAATACTAACCTCGAATTCCCGCTAATAAAATCAGAAATTTGAAGAAAAAAAATCATACTTAACACTTATGTAACATTTATCCAGAGGGTAGGTAGCACACACAGGCACTTGTCTCTGAATTTTTCCCCCTATCTACCTTAATATAACAAAAGGTACTTATTAAGGTAAATAGGGGGGAAACAATTTTCAGAGACAAGTGCCTGTGGTAGCACACCAGTGTGAACAGTAGTTGTGACCTATGACCATAATGACAGATATTGTCAACATTATTTAATATCTTGTCAGTTAGTTAATGGCTCGTGTATGTGTAGTAATATGAAATTAATATCTTACATCAGCCGAGGAAACATCTGTTTCGTTTAGTCATCATCTAAAGAGTAAAAAAAGAGAGAGAGAGATGAAACCGATGACAAGATAGCAAAAACATGAACTTGTAACTGTTATTTTTATTGATTGATATTATGTGATTATGCTTCTGAAAACTAACTTAAGTTTGACCTCCTTGGTTTACCCGACAGTCAACTAAATCGTTTGTAAAATATGTCTGAATGGTCTGGTCTGGGATTACTGTTATAGTAATTTCAGGTAATGTGCAGGAAAAAAAACACGTCTACTGAAAACAGAATTCCAATCAACATAAATTTCACTTAGTAATTATTTGACCAGACATGCGCTAAGCTGTGGCATTATAGTAATTATTTGGTTAATTGAAGATAAATGACCAGAAACAGTGCCCCAGTAGGATTACTATAACACCGGCTTGTAATTGTTCTAATGAAACGAATCCATGCTGTGGCACGATCCCGATATTTAATCGCTTTTATCCGGCTTCAGAATTACAATTAAGATCAATTACTGATAGCTCGGACATGAAATGGTCCAGTTTTATTCACATTAAAAGAAAAAAAAATAAGATATCGATAAATATTTGAAATTTAATCTGAAATCAGTATTTTTATTTATTAAAAAATACTGATGCTGTCTAAATTTCGAAAAGTTGTAAATAGGTATTATTTCCTCCACACAACGAAATAATCGAAGTCTAAGAACTTCTTTTGCATCAAATTGTATTCATGTGCCTTGAGATTGTAACGGTTCACATTTTTTGCGTACTTAAGTTTCCAAACCAAAGCATATTATGAATTGAAGCATATTTCCGAACTAGTGTTTGTCAGTATGTAGGGAGAGTAGTCCCTATACCAAAACTAATGATATAAAGTCCGTAGCGGTGGCTAGCCTGCTACGGACAAACAAATCTGGACATAGTCTTTATAACTGGTCTTTATATAATCAGGGAACACTTGTATAATATATGAATGGACTATTCAATGTTACATCACCAGTGATCAGATTAACCTCGTGATTGCATCATTTCATGATTGAGGTCATTACCGAATAATATATTGCAGACAAAATAAGTGAACTGTAAAAGATACCGTAGCGATAAAAAATTACCAGCACTTGGCTGTAAAAAAATATTTGGGAAGCTCTCTGATAATGAAATTTGAATAATCAAAACATACTGATATGTCATTACATATGGAGTGAACAATGTCATTAAAATAGCTGTCAAAACTGAGCATTAATTGATAGTAATTAATACAATTGTAAATTGTAAATGTTTTTATTTTTCCATTCGATTTTATTTAATTATGACCAAGTTAATTAGTATCTCCTGTACTTTTAAAGTATTTATAATTTGCTGATATAGTTGCTCATCTGCATTTGTATTTACAATATTATTTTTATTGTTATTTTTGTTATCATTTTTATTTATAATTATTAAAATATGGGTTTTATTATACAGAAAGTAGGGGGAAATTTTGATTACAGTAAATAGTTTTTTAATCCTTAACCGGTAAATAGTCTTTTGCAGACAATTAGTCTATAATTCATGTAATTCATAAAGAAAATACACCGTGTGGTCAGAGACATATATACACATATATGTCTCTGGTGTATCTATGGGTATACTGATTCCATTTTAATATTATTATTATATATAAACGAAGTTTTACTTTGTCGCACCAGGAACATATATATTGACTTTACTACACTGTTCCCAGGTCGCACAAATATAGCGACACATCATCGATTTTTTAAAAAAATACGTTGACTTTAAGATTTTCCTAATCTATTTTAAAAACCTTACACATATACACAAGGTTAAGACATTTCATCAGGAAAGGATTTAAATGAAAAGAAAAAAAAAGACCATCTGTTTTGTATAAAAATCAATTTCGAAAGACTCACTGGATTATAAATAGTTTTGTAATTGTTAACAATGATTTACACTCGAATTTACTTATCAAATTAATCAATGACATATCTTTTTAGTAAACATTAAATTTCCGGTCAGCAAAATAGCCAGTAGCACATTTGAGGGCACTCGAAAATTGCCTTATCAATGAATGTTCAACGAAGCGCGAACATAGCATAAAGAAACCGCGTGTTAAAGGGACGTCTGATTATTTCAGTTTGATCATTCGAGGAGGTAACACACATGTCGGAAATGCGTTTAGGAAGGGTTAACTAGTTAAAAATCCGATTTATTTTCCTGTTGTTGAACTTTTATTTTCTGATAAATGAGTCACAAATTTTGATTGGTCAATCCTGAAAAATCCTGACATACTTTAAGCATATGATAAGTGGATTGTATATATGTACATGTGGTTTATAATATGTTGATATCATAACTAAATCCGTCGCAGTATGAAAACAATGTGACTCATTGGATTTAAATATTTAACTTTGGGAATTATTGGAATTTGATATAAAGACATTATTTCTCTTAAAAAAAATCATTGATTTTAGAGTGGAGTTTTAGTTACAGTAGAAAATTCTCACGATTGTCGATTGGACAATTCAAATATACAGAAAGCTACACATTTGAGTTTAAAAGTTTTTGTGAATGGTTTTCATTGTGAAATGAACGAACATTAGTTATAGAACGAGTGACAAAGTGTTAGAAACATCAGTTTTGTGTCACATTTGATTTAAGTTAAGTACGACAAACTGTTAAATATGGGAGCTAATAATTCCCTTGCCGAGGATGATCCTAGAAGGAACTTTGATCATAAGGATAAATATACAACTTCAGCTAAATACAGACTTAGTTATCATGGAGTTTCTAACGCTAAAGGTTAGTACTATTACATCAATGCAAGGCCTATATAAATGTTCTTGTATGTATGTATGTGTTTTATTTGTTATTGCTTGACACTTATGGGTATTATTTTCCCATAAAGATTGTATAAAAATTATTAGCCGTCAAGACCTAATTATACATCTATAGCCCATGCAAAGCAAGCCCAAAACGAAGGCAAAACCTTCACAGCCTCGCAAGAAAGTTTCTTTGTGATTTCAGTAGTTTGGAGAAATGTAAAAACGTTAATCGAATGAAAAATATAAAGTGAATGAATTTAGAAGACGACAAGTCAAAAACTCAATTTACTACAAAAATAATACAACATGTACAATGGCAAGCAATAACCAACTAAACAGAAACAGAACACAAGATTGAATAACACGAAGTCGTCTCTTAAGGTTAAACTACAGCGGTGTAGGTGAACGTGGACATTTCTTCCGTCATGTTTTTATATATACACAGTTATAAACATTTCAGAATATGTGTCTTTACATTTTAAATAGGTTGTATACAACCTACCAAAGTTCACCAAATGATCCCCCGATATTTTCAGATGGTTCAATGTACTTTTACAAATTATTTTTATTTAGCATTGACACATTAAAAAGAAAAATTGTTTTCCAACATATATTTATTAGGTTAATTGCCTCGGACAATATCTTTATTTTGGAATTTGTTCATGGTCTGCTCTATGAACCTTGGAAAAAATGCATTTATCAAAAAATATGTGTCATTTCATTTCAATTATAAATTTATAATAGTTTACCACTTTGACAAAATCCCACATCTAATAAATAACTTCTGATTTGGAGAACTATTCTCTATTCGATGGTCTGTACATGTACACATTATATGCTAGAAAAAACAATGCGAAATCAATTTTAATAACATACAATCTGGGTGTAGATAATTCTGTAATTACATGGCTACAATGTTCATCAATCTACATAATTTATCAACAACTTGATGTAATAACACCCATTGGGTAAACATTTTAATCAAAAGATAGAAATTATTTTTGTCACATAGATAAAATGGAATCTAAAATTTCAGTGTTACGATTATGTTACTGTTTTGTTACACAAACCCTTAGGGGACTTCATTTCTTTAACATTATCAGGTTCTAGGTAATAATGACACGACATTTTTTTATTTTAATTTATGTTCCTATTCTTGTTTAAATTACATCATGATTTATTAGTTTATTGTACCTTGGCGGGATTGTGTTTTGCTCTTTCAAGAGTTTCAAGTTCAGGATAAAATGTTTATCGCTGAGAACAATGGAGAATATCCCAGGTTGTGGAACGACACAAACTTTTGAATAAAACTTCATCTAAATCAAAACTGAACGCAACGTGCAAAAGTACATGTAACCATTTCAAATCATTTTAAATGTAAATGTTATCTAGTATACAGACAAAAATAAATGTGAATTTCAAACGTAATGGGGACAGTTCTTATCAGGATTGGGAACTTTACTTTGAATTCAACAATAAAAACAGGACACTTTTAATATTATTATTCTAAATATACATGTAAGGCATAAAAAAACGACATTTTTTTAACATTTTTTAAGTCGTATGTTTTAGTCACGGGTTCCCCTTTTTGGACCACCTTTACCTATTTATTGCCACTGGACGTTAAGTAAAAAAACATTTTTACGGGTGCCACATGTGGAGCACGATCTGCTTACCCTTCCCGAGCACCTGAGATCACCCCATATTTTTGTGGGATTCGTATTGCATAGTCTAGTTTTCTATGTTTTGTAAACCGTTGTTTGTCTTTTATCGGTTTTCGTTTTTTACCAAGGCATTACCAGTTCGTTTTAGAATTTCGAATTTGAATATCCCTTTGACATCTGCCTTTGCGCTTTTTAAACAGGCAATCTTTTATACCTGTATGCACTATACAAAATAGTTATTAGATCAAGGCATCCCTGTTTTCAGGGAGTTCATAGCTATATATTAGGTTATTAGCAATCATAAATTTATCTATTTCATTTGAAAGTTTGGAACTGAAACTGAATTGTAAATTGGTACTATCCTATATATAGCTATACAACAGAGGTGTATCTCTGGGGAGCTTTGGTATAAGCCTACACCAGAGAAGAGACGTATCAGTTCTCTGTCTCTACCAATTCTATTCCGATGATGACCATTGAAAGAAGACATAGGTCACATATTGTCATGACATTGTTAACTGCTGTATTACACGATGTAGAATTTTTATTTGTCTTTTCTATGTTTATCATTTACATAACTAAATTTAACTACATTTAATCATTTCTTTTGATCTGTTTTAGGTAAACCACCACCGCCAGAAGGGACACCATCATTAAGGAACATCACTCATAATTCATTGACTGTCGTCTGGTCACCACCTCAGGGTCAGAGAATAGACACAATTTTAGCCTATAGAGTGGAAATTTACAATGCGACAACAAGAAGGTGGAAAGTTGTCACAAGTTGTTGTCAGGGTAATTCATATGATGTCAAAGACCTAAAACCTGATTCGGAATATTGTCTTCGAATTCGAGCCGAAAATTTGTTTGGTTGGAGTAAACCGAGTCAGTCTACCCATATGGTACGAACTCGATCTTTGCCTAACAGACGCTCCATGTTCGAACAGGAGGAGGCTAAAAACACTAAACTAGTACGAAGACATAGCTACAATATCAAAATCGAGGCTAATGTTGCCACCATGTTGTTCAATAAAACCGAAGAAAGTGGAAATTGCAATACTATTGGGACTTTTCCCATGCGGAGAAACGGAAATACAAGAATGTCTCTTCCCATCCAAAGAAGAACCGTTGCTAGCTTGCTTCCTGGATCTCGCCGTGAAAGCACTTGCAGTATACGTGACACTCGCCGAAGGTCGATAGAAGAATCTTCAGTTTGCACTGATGAAACGGACGAATCATTAAAATCACTCAAATTGCATCGTATTTCCATGTCAACAGAAGAAGATTCGTGTGCGCGGTCAACTTCGTCGACGTCGATGACGTCAATTCCAGAAATGCAAGAAGAAGATTCGTTTGAACATTTAGAATGTAAAAATAATAAAGAGGAATATTGGAAACAAAACTGGTTATCGCCGACCCACGAAGTTAGCCATGATGATATTTTAAAATCGCCATATTCCGATGACACAAAACTTTCAATGTTTTCACGATCTCCAATGCAAAGACAGTCCAATCATTTCAGTGACTTAACAGAGACCAACAAACTTTCTCAGTACGACATTGACAGTGATTCTCAGATTTGGAAAGGAAAAGACGACGTTCCATTAGATAATGAAAACATTTCTGATCTCCGTTCACTACGGGATATACTGTGTTCAAATGACCTGATGGTCAAAACGCTCAATGCTGACAACAACGGAAATTATTGCAATAAACTTTACAATAATGTTATTCACGAAGTGGACGAGGAAAATGTGACGATGGACATAGTCTCAACATTGTAACCCGCACTGTTGTAGTCATGGAAACAATTTGCTTTAAAAACATATTTCCAATGTTAACCGATCTCATGTCAGTGACCTTCTTTCCTTTTTTCGAAGATTTCGGGACCAAAGAAGGAATGCTTCATATAATGGAATTCAGTGTTTATTTTTATTTTCCCTTTGCTATGCTAACCAAAGAAGGTTATTTATTTTTGTGGTGCAAATCGTGCAATTGATAGTCCCAATGTTTAACAAAATAGCATTTCACACTGCTTTACAAACATTTGTTATCATATATTTAAATGAACATTATTTATTTTAATTATAAAAGATATTTTAAAGTTATCAAGTGTTTTATCTCCACCTAGGCGTTTATTTGTTCATTGAAAGGAAGTAGTACTTCATATATAGTATTGTTATATCAATGTATAGTGTAGCTTTTCGCTTGGAAATCACTACGTCTAGTATTTGCCACAGAAATCATGGTACATTACCACATGAGATCACCCTCGGGTTTTTGTGGGGTTTGTTGTGCTCAGTTTTTCGTTTTCTTTGTTTTGTTTTGAAGACTGTTGTTTGTCTTTCGGTCGTTTTTCGTTTTTTGCCATGACATTGTCAGTTCGTTTTCGACTTATGAGTTTGACTATCCTTTTGCTCTATTCCGCCTTGCCTTTTCAAACAGATTTGATCGCAAGCATGTTAATATAAATCAATCCAAACATGGTCATCTGTTTGCGACAGATCGCTTACATTGAAAATATATGCATGCATGTACAATAGTTGTGACAGTTCTTCCTGATATCTGATCATCTTTATTAACTTTGTTGAAAGAAAACTTGATACACACACTAAAGTCCGATGATGCTCATCTTTGAAATATCTGATCTTTTCATTTGACTATATAAGAAATATAAGAAAATTGACTTGAAGAAGAAAGGACATTTTGGGGTTATGCCAACGAACATCTGACCAAAGATACAAAGATCATAATGCGATGATAAGGCATCTCGGTGTTAAGATGCCGGTCGGGACCATAATGTATGCATAGCTACATGGAAGAAAAACAGTACAACCAAAGTTTAGTACACACGTATAGAACAGAAAACAAAGTTTAGTAATCACGTATAGACCAGAAAACAAAGTTTAGTACACACGTATAGAACAGGAAACAAAGTTTAGTACACAACAGAAAACAAAGTTTAGTACACACGTATAGAACAGAAAACAAAGTTTAGTACACACGTATAGAACAGAAAATGAGGGAGATGTGGACATACGTCAATTATACAGCAACCAAATAACAAAAACTGAGGTGATCAACGAGAACGCAGTTCGAGTGCCATATTATAAATATTTCTTCCATGGTCTAAAACACGACCAGTGCTCTACCAACAACAACTTATTCACAATCATGGTTAATAAAGCACAAACACTCAATACATTGAGGTGAAATTTCAACCAAGTCAATAAATGTTCTATAACGCTAATTAATCACAATTTACTTAGACTACAGCTAAATGTCCACAAAGATATGAAGACATAATAGGATCACAATTACACTTTACTTTAGGTGAGAAGCGTAAAATTGTATATTCTTATGTTCAATTACCTACTTAAAATGAGATTTCAAAGATTTGTTTAAATTCAGTCATTTAATCCTTGGTATTAAATTTTGGCATGTATTGTTTATTTATTTTCATTCAAAATGTTTGCTTCTTGTAAAAACATGAAATTTTACACATTTGATTTACTAAACCAGACTTTGAGCGATCAATTAAGAACCTTTTGTTGATTCGCGAGATAGAAGAAATATTGGTGTTAAGTTAGCTCCCGGTGAAAGTTGTGTATTTAAAGTGAGCCGCCGGTAAAAGTAGGATCTTAACACAAGAAGAAAATTATTGATTCCGTATATATTTATCTACAGTTTCTTTTAAACACTGATGAAACTTAATCGGTTCTTTGAGTTTTTAGCAAATAACGGACTTGGCTTTAAGCGTTTCCAAAAATCAGAGTTCACATATATATTTTTTTAATGCCTTAACCAATTTATTCAAAATTTTTACTTATTTAAAATGACAAGGACATTGTTTGACAGGAAAATCAAAATGAGTATGTTCAGGGGGTATATGGGCACAATATGTTGAAAGATAAGCTGGATTCAGTGATTTAAAAATCAAAAGGGGGAAAACTGACGATTCATAATAATTGATACAGTATCCTTTCCACTCGAGTGAATACCAGAAAGTTGACAGAGTATCCGTCCAACTATTGAGGTGAATACCAGAAAGTTGACATAGTATCTGTCCAACTATCGAGGTGAATATCAGAAAGTAACACAGTATCCGTCCTTCTCTTGGGTGAATATCAGAGAGTTGTCACAGTATCCGCCCCTCTCTTTTAAGTGAACATCAAAACGCCGTCAATATAGCCGCAATTAAAGATTTTGTGTGTGCGATATTTTTATTTACACTTAAAGGACTCGCATACATCACAAATATATTGTATTTGAAAAATGAGAAAATTTTCCATAAAATTATATTTGTAGTTTTGAATGGTAATATGTGAAGACATTTTAAAGATGTGGGTTTTAAGATTGAAGCCAGAAATTCAAATAAACGTACGATTTTGTAAGTGATTTTCACTTTCAATTTGGATGTTTCAAAATGGTATGTGCTAGCGAAACAAGTAAAAGGGATATGAGTCCTATCCCCTTTTCTCACCAATCATGACTTAAGGTCCGCTTATTTATAGCCTAACAAATATAGATACTTAAAACATAGGCCTCATCAGGTCATTTTATGAGCGAAATCAAAACTGAATGTGGATAAAGTGTTTAGTATTTTACAGAAAAGAGGTGATTTTGCAAAAAGCAATCGAAATTTAAGTCCGCAATTCAATCACAGGGGCTACATTACCTGATCACCTTAAATCTTTCTTTTGATAGAGATTAACTTCAAACAGAGTTTTATCGAAGTACATTGTACCGGCATAAATTTACATTTCTCATCTGTACATTTGCACAAAAATGACCTTTCGCGTGTTACTCAGATGGGGTTACAGGTTATTGTGAAATTCTGTCTTCTTTATAACCTTTTGAAGCTGATATAATACCAATGTTGGGATAATATCTTTAGATCTGATCTGATATCATAGAAAGGTCAGGTGTGATTTTATCTAATATGACCCAGCGGTGTGAGAATGAATTTAAAATTTAATGTTTATGATAGTCATCTATTTTTTTTGTATTAAAAAATACCACAAATGTAGACTGGGGCTGTTTTAAGGGATGCAAATATAGCGAATGTTAAAAATTGTAATGAGGGTTATTTCTCAATCTAATTAAAATAAAGATCTCTGATTTCGTTATCCACATAAGATAAGAGAAGATATTTTATTGGTTTAAAATTCAAAATTACAGGATTATTACCAAAACAATAAACATTGGCTGCACATAAACATACAAACATATATCTGTCCACATTTGTATAAACATTGTGTATATAAATTTGTATATCCCCTCCATCATTAAAACATACCAGTTTATATAAACGAGCACGCGAGTTAAGATGGATCTCAATTTTAATCAGATTGGTTATTTCTTTATTGCTGACTACACTATACAGTGTCATCTGATTTTTATATGTTTCTCTTTAAATGTGAATAATCGGATACTTTTTTTTAAAGGCAAATGATTTTATAAAGTTTTCAAAGATATTTTTTGCTCAGTCAAAATTCCAAAAAGTAGTTCTTGTCATCCTCTTCAAGAAAAAAAACACAATAAAAATCATTGTTACATTAGCGATAAAGACTAAAAATTGCCCTGTATGTACCCCATGTACTATTGGATATACAGAAAGATAATCTGTCTATAGATATTTTATAATACTTGGATTATTAGTCAGATCATTGATATTAAATTTAACAAAGACAAAAGAAATATTTCAAACAAATCAAGGCAGCAAAACATCTGCCTACGTAAATCCGATACTGAGTAAAAAAGGCATACTACATCTTAGCCAGTGGCGTAGCTACCATTGACGCAACGACGCACTTGCGTGCACAAACAAAAAGGCCCCAAAAAAAATCATAATTAAAAAATCATAGCAGTCAAAAAAAGAAAGAGTGCAATTGACTGTCACTTTGTATATATAGGTGTTTCAACTTGTCAGAAAGGTTTCCGTGTTTTCTATCAGTTCAGTTTTGTTGTGCGTACATCGGTATATACAATTTTTAGACCATCTACTAATTTAAAACGAACTACGAGATCGTTTTGTCAATTCGGAAGAACGTTTTCTTGCCCAGTTGCTTCTTCCAAACAATCTGAAAAGTTTGAATCGGGACCATCAAATTCGCATATTTCGCGCCTACGAGTCCGATATTCAATCAGAAGATCAGTTTCTTCTCAAAATTAAAAGGTGGGTTGCGCGATGGGATATTTATCCATCTAACTTAGGTAGGTAGTGTATTCTGCAAATACTTCTCACCATGCCACCCCCAACCTCTACTGCTACTCTACTGCTGAACGCTCTTTCCGCGCTCTGAAACGCGTAAAAACGTATCTGAGATCGACCATGGGACAAGAAAGACTTTCTTCACTTGCACTGCTGCACGTTCATTCTGATTTTGACATTGACACTAAAGAAGTTATTGACACGTTTAACAATGCTAGGCAAATGAAAATGTTACTCTCCTAAAGGACCTCGGTTGTTAACTTCAGTCTTACATACGGTCTTACATACGAACGTCACATTCATATATCACCAAATTAAAAATTGATTGTTTGAATTGCTTTGTTTTCGTATGTTAACATATATGTCATGAGATGATCCAGTTCTCTAGCCCTTTCTTTCTTTGAAGCATAATAAATTGGCGAGCATTGCAAAGTTTTTAGAATTTTTTAGTCAGTTTTAGGTCTTTGATTTGATATACTAGTATAGCAAAACACTCAACTGTGCATACTTTCACTTCAAAATTAACCATCTTTGATCGAAAAAAGATTCATTTTCTGTAAAAAAGGGTCCAAATTTTTTTGCAGATCATTATAAGTCTAGCTACGCCACTGTTAGCATAGATGTATAAACCCATGTTTATACATGATCTTAGTCATTACAGTTGTGAATCCAACATAAAATGGGGGTGTCGATGAAATAAAGCACAAGGTTTCCACGGGATAATGCAGAGAAAAGGGGGAATTGAGATCACATTAGAAAAAGAATCTCCATTAAGGACATTTATAAGTCTTGCAAATGCATGGACACTCTCGTGTTTGATGACGTCTGCTTGGAAGCTATCATTAATCTCAATGGCTTCATTAAATTTTGCTTAATATAAAGTTTTCGAGACAT